GTGAAATCCAGTATTTGTCTTTCTCCTTCTTATTCTGATTATCATAATCCCCTCCAGTTCCATCTATGTTCTCGCAAATGGCAAAATATTATCTTTGCTATGACTGAATAGTATTCCATTACATACAATCAACTTTCCTTGGGCACATAGTTTCCAAACCTTGGCTATTATAAAGAGTGCAGGATTGAACATAGGAGTGCATGTGATCTTTCCAAATTATCATTTTTATTTTCTTCAGAGAGATACCTGGGGTGGAATTACTGAATTATATGATAGATCTATTTTTAATTTTTTTGAGGAACATCCATGCTGTTTTTCCATAGAGGCAGCACCAGTTTATTCCCACCAACAGTGTATGAGGGTCCCCTTTTTTCCACATCCTATACTCATTTCTGGTCTTCTTGATATAGGCCATTCTCAAGGTGAGAGGTGATACCTCCTTTTGATTTGTGTTTTCCGAGTAAGGCAAGATGAACATTTTTTCATGTTCCTGTTGGTCATTTGAATGCCTTTTATGGAGAAGTGTTTATTTGGATCTTCTGCCCATTTGATAATGGGCTATTGGTTTTGTTGTTGTTGAGTTGTATGAGCTTTTTTCTAATTTTTAATTTTTTTAAGACTTTTTTTTTAAAGATTTATCTATCCATCTATACAAGCACTGGGAACAGTCAGAAGCGCAGGAGGGTGAGAGAATTCACCAGAGCCAGAGCGGGGAACAGAACAGGCAGACTGATGAAATACACCGCTGAGGGGAGCAGCGGGCAGCATGGGAGATCTGCGCGCCATCTGGGATCGTCGCCCTGGTGGCCAGGGACCGAACTGGAGCTGTGGAGGCTGCAGGCAGCTTCACAACCCAGCGCTCAACCACTACGCCACCAGGGAGACCCTAATTTTTAATTTTTTAGATATATTTTACAACATTGTTCATTTTTAAACAATGTTTGCTTCTTCCCCACCTCAGGTGTAGTCCACACAGGATTTCCTTCACCAATGCACCCGTGCACCATCACCACAGTACCCTGTGCTCCTCCCTCCCTCCCTCTGAGCTCTTCATAAATCTTGGATACTAACTCTTGTCAGATGCATGATGTGTCAATTGTTTTCTCCCATTCAGAAGGACATGTTTTCATTTTCACAGTGGTTTCTTCTGCTGTGCAGATGCTTCTTAGTTTGATAGAGTCCTGTTTGTTTACTTGCCTTTTGCCATTTTTTTTTCCTTTTGTTTCCTTTGCCATTAGAATTGAGTGCCCAAAGACAGCACTGAGGTCAATGACATGGAGTATGTTGTTTATGTTTTTGTCTATGTACTTTATGGTTTTAAGTCTTATATCCAAGTCTTTAATCCACTTTGAATTAATTTTTGCCTCCAGTCTGAGACTATGGTCTAATTTCATTCTTTTGAAAGTTTTCCCAACACCATTTGTTGAAGAGACATTCCTTTCTCTAGTGTATGCTCTTGGGTCTTTGTTTTTCTTTTTTTAAATATTTATTATTTATTATTTATTTATTCATACAAGCACTGGGTATAGTCAGAAGCAGAGGGTGAGAGAATTCACCAGAGCCAGAGCAGGGAGCAGAACAGGCAGAAGGACCGAAGTACGCTGCTGAGGGGAGCAGCGGGTGGCAGGAGAGGTCTGTGCACCATGTGGGACCCTCAACCTGGTGGCCAGGGATCAAACTGGCGCTGCAGAGGCTGCGGGCAGCTTCGCAACCCAGCACTCAACCGCTGCGCCACCAGGGAGGCCCCGGGTCCTTGTTTTAATTACCAGTCCGTATATGTGTGTTTTTATTTGTGGGCTTTCAGTTCTCGTCCACTGGTCAGTGTGTCTATTTTAATTTTTATACCATAATGTTTGGTCAAAGTTTAGGATAATATCCTCATGATATCAGAATTTGCAGGTGTCCTTAAAAGGACATAAAAATTACCAAAGCACAAAAGAAAACTAGTAAGTTCAACTTAATTAAGAACATCTGTTGATCAAAACATACCATTAAGAGGATGAAAATATAAGCCACAGACTAGAAGGTGATATATGAAATTTGCCTGTCAAAAAAGTCATTCAATATTTTGAAGAGTTCCATAAATAAGAAAAAGACAGGGCCTCCCTGGTGGCGCAAGGAGTTAAGCACCGCACTATGAAGCAATCCGCAGCCTCTGCAGCATGAGTTCAATCCCCAGCCAGCCAGGGAGCAACCCACATGGTGCAGCAGACCTCTTCTGTCTCGCCTGCTGCTCCCCTCAGCAGTGTATTTCAGTCAGTCTGCCTGTTTTATTCTCCACTCTGTCTTTGGTAAATCCTCTTACTGCCCCCCCCCTTCATCTCTGGCCTGTACCCCAGCTCTTGTATGCATAAATAAATCTTTAAAAAAAAAAGACAAACTATTCAATTTATAAATTGGCAAAAAATCTTACATAGGCACTTCACAAAGGCACATATCCACATGACCAATAAGTACATTAAAAGATTCTCAGTAATACCAATCTCAAGGAAATGCAACACATATTCACTAAAATGACAAAATAACACACGGCAATACTGAATGTTAGTACTTCACAAATATCACTGGTTGAAAGACCCACTTTGAAAAACCATTGAAAAGTATTTTCTAAAGTTAAAGATATAGCCACATACACTATATCTAAATCTCACAGGCAGAGATTAGCAAAAGGATCAGATCCAAGAGCACCTCCTGCATGTTTTAATTTTCAAGTGAAAGTTCAAAGGCAACATTAATCTATAGTTTCAGAAGTACTTATTGACACCCTCTGTGTTTCCCATTAGAGTTGGTATCCACTAGTGACGTATGAGATATTGGAAATATTCTATAGCTTTTCCTGGATGATAGTTACCTAGGTATATACATAGATTAAAAACTCATCAGCTGTACTCAATACTTATGCATTATGTTGCGTGCATGTTTTGTCTTCAATAAAAATTTTAAATCAAAATTTTAAGTTCATATAGAGCAAAGTCATCAAGCCATCTTAAATCTGTACAATATAACAGTAACATTAATCCTTTTTACAAATAAATAAGATTCTAGAGCATAAATACAGATGCAACATGAGCAAGGCATTCACAAATGAAATGCAAGTGATCGAGACATATGGAAAGCTACTCTAACTCACTAACAGCCAAATAATTCTAAGGCAGCAGCAACCATATTTTTAAATAAGAGGAATGGCAAAAATAAAAATAATTAGATAATTTGTAAGGTCAGTATTTAAGGAAGCAAGGACTTGCCTATGTTTTTAAATAAGGTTGTAAATTTTCAGAACCCTTCTGTAGATAGTCTATTATTATGCATTTGGATAATCTTTCTAATATATATTAATATACAAAATGATCATATACTTCAACTGAGCTATTCAACTTCTGTGGATTTATGGTAAGGAAATTATTATAACAATATATAGTATTACATATCAGTATGGTTTATTATTATAAGACATAATTATTCATTCTCTCAGCAAATATTGAGCAACTACTATGGGCCAGAGGCTAGAACAGCAGTGATGCTTCTCATGACATTACTTCATTTGATCATCACTATGGAACTTTGATATAATCATCATCTTAAATTTAGGCTAATTACAATGTAGAAGAAAAAGTTGTTGTAGGTTACATAGCAAGTGAGGAAACAGGATTTGAATTCAGGCAGGTTGACACCAAAGTATAAATTCTTGAGGAACTGTGCAACCAGTTGTATATTTCATATATGTGTGTATGTATATATGTGTGTGTGTGTGTATACATACACACACATATATATGTATATATATGCATACCAGATAGGGAAATAGATAATACATACAGGAATATAGACATTAGTAAATGACTGCTAACAATATTGAAACATTTCTAATGTTTCAATCCATTGCAAAGACCTTGATTAAAAGTTCATGTTACAACTACACAATTGCTCACAAGGCAGCTATTTTAAATGAGAGGGTATGTTAACATGAAATGCTGTCTATAACATTTGGAGGAGAAGTATTCATTTTTAGAGGACTCAGAGGAAGGATAAGTATTACTTCACTTTTTGAATATAACTATATAACCATTTCTTTAGCTATATATACTAAAATTCTAGAATGGTATAAAAATATTAACTGTGTCTCTGAAGGTAAAAAACAGAAATTCTATTTAGAGAGTTTTGTATTGTTTAGCTCTTATGATGAACATTCACTGATATTTGAAAATAAATATCTATTTTACAATGTGGGAAATTGTGCTAGTTATTTCAGGATGAACTTACATTATCTTCTTAAACTATACGGGCCATTTTCATTGTTAGAGTTACAACATAGGATCACCATAAAATCAGTTCATCCCAAGTTGAATATTATTTCTCAGCTTCTGCCTGATACTTTATCCTCCTTTAACAATAGCCTTGACATTAACCTCCAAACCAGACAAAGAGAAAGAAAACATAGCTTGCCACATATTGTTCTGACTTGACAAATCAACCATAACACAGACGTTCTAGTTTTCAAGTTTCCCTGGTACAATGGGCTGAGTAGTGGCTAACAAAGGGTTACTTCTAATTGGAACCTGTGAGCTCTAATCTTATTTGATAAAAGGGACTTCGCTCATGTCAAAATCACAGCAGGACAGTTTGCTGGATTAGTGTGGGTTCCCCACCTAACCACAGTATTCTATAAGGGAAAAGGGGAGAAGACACAGAGGATAAGGCAACATGGGGAGGGAGGCAAAGTGTGGAGTTTAAGCAGTTAGAAGCCCCCAGAGAGGAATGGTACTGAGTCTTAGAGCCTCCTGAAGAAACCAAAAATGAGAGCCTATGAGGTAGACTTCTGGCACCAGAACACAGGAGGATAAACTTCCAATGGTATTAAGCTACCATCCCAGTTAATGCCAATTTTTTTCCAGCAAAACTAGTAAACAAATGCACCTAAATGTTTTAACATGTTAATTTTTTATGCACTTCTAGGAACAATGAAATTGGACAATAAACAATTCTATGAATTCGAATCTTACCATTTAAATTCTGTCCTATTTGCAAAGGACCAGAGGTCAAATCTGTAATTGGACCACTTAGAATTCTGGTATAAAAATCTGTGTTATCCTCTTCCAAACCATTGATGAAGAAACTGGTTTTTGTCTGATGCACCTGTAAGAAATTACCACCATTATTATTTTAACTGCATAGCCTTTTGTTTTATAACTACATTTGTTTTATAACTAACTACTCAGGTAGTCTCTACCTGAGTCTCCTCTTTCTCCAGTTGGCAAGGCTGAACACACTTTAATGGTTCGATGATATATCTATGTGTTTATATATCTAGATATATAACTAACCACTGTCATTTTATGCTGTGATAATATCTACCAGGGTATTCACAGGTATACATAACTCTGTGCCATACATTTATCATCTCTAACTGCCATGTCTTCAAATAAATTTTTTTAAGGATAGGTTGTTTCTTTAAATACTAGTGAAATTTGCTTAACCATATCTGCAAATAGATAGAAATTAATACAAAAATGAGAAATAGAAATTCTGAAATACTTCTTGCAAACTTTCACTTTCTTAGGTGTTAGTATTCAGTATTCAGTTGGCAATTGGCATCTGTATTTCCCCCAAACAGAATTACATAAAAATTTGCCAGTCACATTTCAGATGCATTAATTAGGCCACCTAGCAACTATATGCTGGAGGTTAGTAAACTTGCTGTAAACAGCCAGAGAATTTTTTTGTTTGAATTTACAAGCCCAATGATTTGATTTTGTAGTCCAAAAGAGGACATGTCACAGCTACTCAACATTGCTGCTGTTAACAGAACAGAACAGCAGCCAAAGCACCCACAGAAGATACTTATGTGAATGAGAATAGATGTGATCCAATAAAACTATTTATAAAAACAGGTGGCTAGATTAATTCCAAGGCTTGTAGTCAGAATGCTGGGTTGAACCCTAGAAAGTTACAGACTTTTTGTTTGTATGACATCATCTCTGAAGAGCTAATTCAAACTTTTATGTTGACTATTTCATCGGTGGAATTCAATCTTCACTGATTGTATTTCTGAATAAACTCATCAGCTGTTTTGATATCAACTTTGGTTTCTACAAATAGTTTCATTCAAGGGCTATTTAACTTAAGCATAAAAAGAATCATTTGTATCCTAATTAATAAAGGGGTTAAAATGGCAAACAAATGGCTCGGGTGAGGACAGGAGAAAGAGAATGAGAGAAAAAGTAAGTGTCGGGCCTCCCCGGTGGTGCAGCGGTTGAGCGCTGGGTTGCGAAGCTGCCCACGGCCGGTTCGATCCCTGGCTGCTCCCCGGCCACCGGAGGAGGGTCCCACATGGCGTGCAGACCTCTCCTGCCGCCCGCTGCTCCCCTCAGCAGTGTACTTCGGTCCTTCTGCCTGCTCTGCTCCCCGCTCTGGCTCTGGTGAATTCTCTCACCCTCCCGCACTTCTGACTGTACCCAGTGCATGTATAAACAAAACAAACAAACAAACCAGCAAACAAATAAATAAAGCATGCCTCTATAAAAAAAAAAAAAAAAAAGAAAAAGAAAAAGTAAGTGTCTTGCAGCTGAACAGATATTAACATTTGAGTATAATTATACATCAAACCATAGCACTCAACATGCTATTCTATCAAGAGGCCTCAAAAATTGATGAAAGTAACTATTTGTGAGTAACTGCCTTAAAAATCCCTTTCAGAAATCCCCTACTATCAAAAACAAAAAATTAAGTAAACCCTGGGATTTAACATAAAGACTAGGGAATAACAATTCTGCAAAAAAGTGACACATATGGCTTTTCTCCCTTCTAACCAAACTGCTTTCATTTAAACCTTGTTCTTTCTTGAATCCACTGAACTAGTGTTATAATTTATTTATTTATAAAACAAAGCTTTAACATAAAGACCTAAAAATCACCCCAATTCCTTATGGGTCAGGCGATACCTCTCTGCTGGGTAGTGGGCCTGCATGGTTGGGTTGGTTTTTTTTTTTTTTTTGCATTCCATTTTTTACAGCCTGTTACTGTCATTTGGTGTTTGACTGTTATCATTATAAAAGATACAGGCTTTTCTACTTTGTTATTTGTAGCATTATCTCATGTTTTACAACATCTTTGCGCAACATGCAGGCACATGAAATATAACTCGTGAAAAGTTCTCGATGGTATTAATGCATAAAAAAGAATGTGGTTCCATCTCTACTGTCTTTACCCAGCCAAAAGCTGATGAACAGCCAATTTTCCTTTATCACATTAGCACAGCCATGAGGGAAACACATTTGTTCTAGTCAGCTACACTAAAGATACTATTACCAATCTAACATATACATGTTTTATATCAGCAGTATTCTCAGAGCATGAGAGAGCCAACAATATATTAACACTAGCATGACAGTTTATTTAAGAAAAGAAAATTGTCTCTGTAGAGGGACAGAAGTTAGAAATGTATGGCGAAAGCTCAGTGTCACTGTTCTAATAAAGGTAATAATTCTTAGGCTTTCTTTATAGCAGGTAACACTCCTGTGACAGTTCTGTCATATCATTCAAATAAAAATGTTGTCTTTTACAAGTTTAAGTGCACCTTTATTTTGAGTCAGATAGAAAGCATGCTTTTGATTTTCTGTATTCACTGTATTATATCTGTAGTCAAGAGTTCAGGACCTTTTTTTCTTTTTTTATCAACTCATCACATATTTGCTTAGTAGGAGGATTTGGTGTCCCTGTAGTGAATTCCAGAAGGATGGTCTCACTTTGGTGGTACTTACAAAATGAATAATGATGACCCCCAGCCACTCTTTCCCTGGCCCCCTCCCCTATCAACCACCTTTCTATAAATAAGATGAAATCTTCTTCCATGTTCTGTGTCATGCTTTATATTCCAAGATTCTCTAAAACTACTTTGCAATTCTGGTCTGGGGCTCTATCACAATGAAACTGTGAAGATGAAGGGGGCTTTTTGCAATAGCTCATTCTGACGATCCCCTTGCCAGTTGTTTGGGGGAATAGGAATATATAGGATGGAATTTCTGATTTGTGAAAAGAAAGCCTTCTGCTAAAGTCAAGTGCCCACATAGCTCATCCTGCATCCCTGTGAGGGTTAGAAGCATTTGTACATGTTTATTGGTGTGTCTTAAAGGAAGGAATTGACAAAGACCAGAAGTTGTAGAAAAATTTAAATCCCCTCATTAGAGATCCAAAAACACTCAGGCAAGGGCAGAAAGGGAGCACATCACTTTCAAGCCTTCATTCTCTTGGGGTTTCATATTTTATTGTCACCATTTTTCAGGTCAAAGTTGTGTCCCCATAAGTCCAAGAGCAGAATGGATTTAAGAGGTATGGTAACATATAGGAAGAGGTATGAATCTGTGCCATTGTAGCACCTGATTAGAGTGGCATATGATTCAAAATTCCAGAAAGTTGCACAATAGTTGAGGCGCATACAAGGGGAAAACATAATGAAATCCACCTGCATTATACTATTTGGCCACAATCACCTGTTCCACCCCGATGCCAATCTTTCTTGCTATCCCTCTCCTGTTGGTCACCAACAACCAAGAGAAACTTCTGACTCAAACTGGAAAATAAACAGAGTAGCCTGCTGCTTTCCTCGAAGGAGAAATAGCTTTGCTATTACCTACAGTCTTCTAATTTAAATATACGTCAATAAAACATTAACCCTGTCCCCACCATGGCACATGTGAATGACAAAAATACAGCTAGGGTCCTTTGTCTCAAGGAAGTTGTGTGTGTGAAACAACAGAATAATTGCAATATACTAGAAAGTATTTGAATCACTGTAACTGATGCTGGTGGTTTTTGACTGCAGTCCTGACTTCTTATGCCATTAGTGAAGGATACTCTCTCTCAATGAATTGCTCTCAGAGGTTATGCCTTGGTTCCTTAATGGGGGTGTGAATATGTTTTTATAGATTTATTTTTGTTTATTTATGCATACAAGAGCTGGGATGTAGGCCAGAGGTGTGAGGGGCGAGAGGATCTACCAGAGACAGAGTGGGGAGCAAAACAGGTCTGTCTATGAAATACACTACTGAGGGCAGCAGTGGGCAAGACAGGAGAGGTCTGCTGTGCCATGAGGGTTAGCTCCCTGACCAGGGATCAAACTCATGCCACAGTGGCTGGCAATAGCTTGATAGCACTATGACTCTAACCCCTGCGCCATCAGCGAGGCTCTGAATGTGTTTTTAGACCAGCTCGGTAGCACTTGCCTTCCCAGAACCAACCTACAATTCCTCCGAAGAATATCAGTTACATTATCTTGATGGACCTCATCTTCAGGCAAAATATTTTATGCATTTTGAATACCACCTTCTTCATAGATTTAATACAAAGTGATTTGGCAACCTATGTTGAGTTCAAAATCACTCTCAAAAGATGCTAATGGGTGATACAAGTATAAAGAACATCATTTTGAAAGCTAAGAGATTAAGTAAGAAAATCTCTTCACATGAAACCAAAGGGAAAATTTTATGGAGGAAAAAAAAAAAGGAGTCTTGGACTTTCTGAAAGAGATATTGTCCTGAAATACAATTTCTATTTCTAGGTTACAGAAGGATTTGCATAAAAAATTCCACTATTCCAATTTGTGGTTTTTAAGCATAAGGAAGGAAATTTCTTCTGAAAATTCCATAAGGTTATTTACAATATCACAAATATTTGTAGACACGCACCTCAGGGCAGGCAGTGTGGCCCCCTGAGGCCACACTGGCCTAAACCTATGGTTCTGAGGGCTTTTCTCACTCATTCTATCCATCCTTATTTCTAACCAGTTACTAACAGCCACCTGGGGTCAACTGGTGGTGTCTCCTCACCATCTGATGATCACTCAATGCTGACTTTCATCTCCATATATTATTCAAGCTGTTTCACTGCTTTTAGTTTGCCTAAATTTGGGGGTATTTTCAAAGCCCACAGCAGAATTGTTATTATCACCCTTTAAAAACAATGAGACAGAATCAAGAAGAATCAAAAATGAAAACATTGCATCAGTCAAGGTCATGTAGAAGAAAGTTGACTGGTCCCAGAGCCTGTTTTAAGCAATTTTAATTGGCCAGTGACATACAGTTTCCATTGGGAAGTGACAACCATCTAGTTTATCAAACCCACTGAGTGTCCCTGCTGTG